GTGAGAAGTGGCCAAGCGCTGACCCTGAGAAAGCCCCTTTACCCTGCATATGACCTGCTCCCCAGATTGGAACCCAAAATGCCATCAGTTGTGGAGGAATCTCCTTTTCGGGTGGCAACCAGGGTTGGATAACCTATTGCCGCCTCATGTGATCATTAGGGGCCAAGGACCAGTGAGGGTCACCCCCCTCCAATGGTTGCCTTTGCGAGTCAGCCATTTGAACCATTGAACATCCGGCCGAGGCGGCTCCTGCTTGTCCGGATGCAGCTCCAGCTGCAGCTGCCGAAGCCTCTGCCGGCGCTGCACGTAGCTCCCCTGGCGTAGGCAGCCAGACAAGTGACCCGGCCCAATAAATCTGCAGAGAGGTTCTAACGAACCTTGGCTTTGTCAAATTTTGGCGTGTTGCTTTGGAACAACAAGCCCCAAGATTACGCACCGCGGCCACAGGTGGGATGAGGGTTGGCTTGGGCGTAGGTTGAGGGCTGGTAGGTGGGTTTAGGGGTGGTTCAGGGTGGAACCAGAATGGATGAGGGTCGGGTTAGGGTTGGTTCAGGATTGGATATCCTATATGCCGAAAACGACGACTGCTTCCCGACTCTGCCAATTACGAGAACATTGGGTTCACGATGTTCGAACACCCATACTATTGCTCAAACACCCCTTCTTAGTGTCGCCTTGAAAAGGGTCGATGGCCGTCAAGTCGTTCAAACCAATGTTGCTCAACCCTTCCGTTCCCCCATTTTGAGACAAATCCACATATCCGAACTGGATGCCATCACAAACCGAAGCTGTGGGTCCGTGGGTCATGGTCCACAGCGCGCAAGTTGAAGCCTCTAGGCTGCGCAACTCCTGCTGCAGCTGTTGCCGGCGCTGGCGGAACCAGCGGCTGGCGCCTCACTCAAGACCCTTTCTGCTTCTAGATCGCCAGGCCGCCAAGTCGTAAAGGGATATCTTTAGCAGATAAGTTGTGAGGGCCTTGGCAAAGCTGCTTACTTTTGACCCCACACTTCTTCCGGAAGACCAAAAGACCCGCCATGCTCTGGGCATCTGGCTTGCTTGCTCGTCATCTGCTGGTGCCGGCAACCTCCTTGCTGCCGCCTTCTGCAACATCTGACACTCACTCAAAGTTCTCATCGCTGACATCAACAGCCTTCTCTTGGCATGCAGCTTTCTAGATACCCCTCCATCTTGGCAGCATGAATGCTACATCAAAACAACGCCCTGGCCTGCTTCTCCCTCTCCTGCCTCTCCCTCTCCTGCCTCTCCTTCTCCTGCCTCTCCTTCTCCTGCCTCTCCCTCTCCTGCTTCTCCCTCTCCTGCTTCTCCTTCTCCTGCTTCTCCCACTCCTGCTTCTCCCTCTCCTGCTTCTCCCTCTCCTGATTTGTTTGCTTCGGCGGTTCTCGTTCCTTCCTCGCCTGCCCTTCTTGCTCCTCTTTCTCCCTCTCCTTCTGCTCCTTCTCTCGCTTCCACCTCTCTGGCAGTTCGCCTTCCGCTTCCTGCCAAGCCAAACACTCCGCAGCACTTGCAGGGATCCAAATAAATCCATTGATGTGTATTTCTACCAAGATGACTACAACGGCTTACGGCCTTACCTTACGCACCATGAAATCTGGTTCTTTCTGATTCCCAACACATCCAACAGCAATTGGCTTTGGGTACTCACTTCAATGGCGGCAACTTGTGGCTAGCAGTGCCTTGCGCTGTGAATGAATTGCCTTTGACCCCATGCAATCTCAAATGCCCAAATGGGTTGGTGTTGTCGCCTCTGTTCGTTCCACGCCCAGAAAAGGGAGGTCCTGCTTTGCTCCCACCTGAACTTTTAAACGGACCTAACCAATCCCCACTCGCCTCAAATCCAAAGAAAGAGCCCCAACGAAAAGTCCGAATCTTTTCGCATGGTCACCTCACCAAAGCCAAAGCCTAAACAAAAGGCGATTTCCAGAGTTCACCTCACCGTTTTTCCAAAAACCAAAGCCATCTAAGTCGGAGCTCCGCCCCCGACATCGCCTGGCTGCGTGCCACTAGGCCAAAGCCACGGGGAGTCTCGCAGAACTCGCAGATCATCAACTGGTGCAGAGCATATTCCCCGCGATGGGCCCTTGGGATCCTCGTGCCTGCACCCTTGCACCCCCGTGTGGAGCTTGTATGTTTTTCGCAAAAGACCGGCTGAGGTGGACGCACATCGTTTTGTTCAATAGGAATTCCTCGAAACCTCGCCGCTTCAAGAGGCTTGCTCAGACAGAGCGCGACCTTTTTTAATCCGGCCTGATGTGAAGTTTCCAGGATATGATTGCTGATGAAGCTTCTTGCCCAGCCTTTACAAGACCAATTCATGAAACTAGCTTAAAAGGAGACGAACATCGGACCAGAGAAGTTCGCAGCAAACCTGAAAGCTTCATAAACCTTTTTGCGTCGGAAACACCTTTTGTTAACATGGTAATGTAAATCTATTAAGTGCCGTCTTTTTTCGGATCAGGCGATAAGCTAGTATATATTTGTACATATGTATAATATTCATCAGAGGTTGTCATTCAGATATTTCAGGGTAATTCCAGGAGTTTTTGTTGCATCCAGCAGGCCTAAATCCATTCGAAACTTCTGGAGGCCGTCGCTGGTACAATTCGGCACCTCGTTCAATGGGAACATGCCCTCATTTCCACAAGGGCGACTCGCATACAAAGAGCAGACATGTTCGAGCATGTTTTCCTCGGAAATCCTGCACTTGTATTGCTTTGTTTTGGGGCGGGGACCAACCAACAATGTGTCCAATAGCCTTGAAAAACAACCCTGATGTGTGTCAAGGACCATGCAAACGACCTGCAACAAAACACGGTTCTTTGAGTTGATACGACCCCTCCTTTCTACCCATTCTGATTTCAAGAAAACACCACTCATGGGCGACACTGGTTGGTCTCAACCGGGCCAAGAACTCCGTTGCAGGAAAACCCAATGTGCGAACAGCTGGTGCTTAAAGCTGAGGGCTTTGGGTTTTCATCCTACCAGAATTGTGGTGACAAGGTTTTATCTGGAAATAACTCCAAATGACTTCCGATTTCGCACTGAGGCCCGTAATCCACAAATCAGGGGTGCTCCAAAGACATGTCGCAGGTTGGTAGAAATTTGCTGCCTAAGGTTTGCACCGTTTTCAGGGTGTCCAGGGTTCCCCAATTACTAGTTCTCTACCCAAAATGGTGCTTGGCAATTTTTGTTCTTAGGTTCAGGTTCAGAGAAAGCCTGGGAAGCCATAAATAGAATATCCTTCAAGCGGTGACCCATCCTGCCTGACGTGCATTGTCCTCGGAGATTGCCCAACCCAAACGAAGGACCAAGGCGGCGGGTTTCCTTGTTCCCCGTGGGAGAATCTCGGGGGGCCTTCGGAAGCTTCGGACTCCGCACGAAAGAGGCAACTCGCATTGCCCCAGCGCACATCTTAGCCATGTTGAAGTAGCCATTCCGGCGGAGAAAAAAGAATGCCGCTCTCTACTCCAGTCTCTGACTCGTCCATTCGTGTTCTCTATGTTGAGGGTCCGTGTTTCGGCACCACACCAAAACCGATTCCGCAGAAGCCGAAGCCCGCTGCCAAGGGACGGAGCTGCATTCCTTGCCTCAGAAAGCCCAGCGGTGTCTCTCTTTCCCAAGATCTGCTTCCGGGCCATAGGCGTGGGAAGTGAGTCTGGTGGACCATGGCAAGGCTTCCTGTGCACATATTGCTAGAGGTAGATGGGAAACCCGAAGGCGCCCCCTGGAATGCTTGAAGCCTTGGGAGACGGGGGTGCTTGGCTTCTCTGAAGCTTTCTGGTGGGTAGGGCCAGGGCTCCGACTTTCGCTTAACCAGTCTCGTGGCCTTGCAAATGCTGGGGCAGCATCAAGAACAACATCCCGTTCACTTCACATCCCGGGGGGATTGGTCGCACTTTGGATCCGTTGAAGGTGGCACAGACCCTTTACAGATCTAAAACGAAAACCCCAGACGGGTCAATTCAAATGAGTGGTGGCATTGAAAACCTCGGGATGCGGTGAGGTTTCAAGGGAGTCCTATAAATAAACGATTGTGTCCACCCCAACCTGCTTTTTGGCCAAGCTCAAAAGGGGGTCGCAGAAACCGGTTGGAAGGGTGACAAAACAAACATGTCTCTGGGAAATTCGGAAAGCAAGCAACGGAATCCCTGAGGGCCTGACATTCCCAGTACCCCGTCAGGTTCTTGATGAGGGCAGGATTCGCCATGGCACATGTCGAATGAATCGCGGACCTTCGAAAGGTGTGGCAGATTTGGTGCTGGGCGTAAGGTGCTGCAAAACAAAACGGTGCGTGTCCTAAGTCAAGCTCAACGCATCTCTATACCAAGCGCTTGCCAAGGACGAGTGTGGGCTGGTCCCAGACGTGATTTCTCGCGTGTGGGTCATTGTGGCATTGCACTTGACATAAAAGCTGCGAACATACATACCCAAAGCACGTGCCAAATCAAGGCAAGAACAGGAGCAAAGATCCAGAAGCTATCAGGATCCAGTCTTTTGCAGCAAAATCAAAGCAAACACATTGAAGCTTTCAACGTCTACCTGGGTCATCTGATGGGAAAATTTAGGGTTCGCCGGTGTGCACAAGTGCAAGGGACACTATTTTTTACGCACCCCAAAGGGTCCCTGGAAGACCGGGAGAGGTCTTCGGGATCTTTCTAAACATGACATCAATGTCCTTCTTATTGGGAGACCTTCACTTTATCCTACCAATGCTTGGGGGTTGATCAAAAGGTCCATAACATGGGATGACCATCAAAACCACACCAAAAAAGATGGCGTGTACCGGTAAATGGGAAAAAGCTACCCTTGATCATTTAAAAAGTTAGTCAACCCCCATGTAGGAAGATTACCACTGGTTTCCCTTCAAAAACCAACCCAAAAAGAGTACCCTCACAAAAAGATACACATATATAGTACAAAGAAAAACAAACGGCGGCCCCTCTGATTTTCACTAAGCCTCTGATCTCCCTTGACTCTTCAGCCTCTGCCGAGCGAAGCTTCTCCATTAGCAACTCCGCCTCGAGCCGCAAACAATGTGAACCACAGGGAAAATCGGGTTGGCCAATCCTGGCTTTTGTGGGACACCCGTGTGTCTCATGTCGGCTTTTGATTAAACGAATGCCCACAACGCTTTCGGGAGATCTGCCTGGTTCCAAACAGCACCCAGTTTCAGGGGCGCCCTACTTTTCTACAAAACGGCACAATACACACCAGGGCACGCAAGGTTTCCTTGGACATCCACGTGCGGTGACACTTGGATGGTTTCCAAGTAGCTTGAATTATTTCAGGCTGCAGGAAAGAAGTTGGCTGTTCCCCCCCCAGCCCCCCAGCCCCAGGTCTTCTCAAATGCACTATTCGCGTTCCATCATTCCAACTGTGGCTTCCGCAACATGAAGTGGGTCCAGAATCCGCCCCTCCTGGTGACCCAAGCAACGGCTGGCTTGGTTTTTTGAGTGCAGGGTCGACAGATCCCAAGAGTGACTTGGGGCAACAGCCGCAACTGGTGGGGGAACTGGTGAGCAGCGTCCCAAACAGGGTTCCCCTTTAAACATCACCGGACCAAAACGAGACTCACCTTTGACTAGCCCAGAGGGTGATGGCTGAAACTACTAAAAGCTACATATAGTCTGAAAATATGACGGGTATCAATAAATGTTTGCAGATCTCATGAGCTGCACGCAGTTTCACGGCACAAAGTTGGTTGCACTTAGACACGCATGACTTCATCTTTGGAAATACTACGGCTACTATTGCCGAAGGAGGCGCCAGCGGCGATCTTGGGAAAATGAGCTCCAAGTCCTGCCTGCCGCGTGCTGAGCATCAGTGCCTGCAGGCGAGCGCTACGCTCTGAATTTGCCAACACCTTGGCATGCGGCTTTGTGCCGAAATAGGATACCCCAGAATGGGTGCTGGGTGGTCGTCTGTCTTTAAGAACCGAAACAAAGTGCCCTCGAAAAGGATTTACACATCTACACGTCCGTCATCAAATCTGATCTTGATAAACTGGCGAACGGGCACATTGTCACCTGCCTTTCCAATCTTCAAAGAGCAACGGAATGGCACGGCACAGCAGCCCGCAACAGTCCAGAATTCCGCGCCATGATGCCAAAGCTGACACACTCGCAAAGCCAAGCCAACCTCGAAGCATTCTCCAGCCTCACAACTCTGCCCGCAATGGCGGCAGGTGTCGCCAAGCGCATCTTGGATTGCAAAGCAAGCTCGCTACGCTACCCCGTCAAACAAGGGTCGCTGTAAGGCGCAGCTTGTGGCGGATCCCCGCGCCATGCTGACAGCTTATCTTTGAGCTTTTGGACTGACTTGCTGGTGCGACAAGCAGGGAATGACCTTCCGGGTTTTGGGAATGAACCGCAAGGAGATTCCCTTAAAGGAAGCCATAGGGGATGATTTATAGGGCTCATGGCACCGCATTCCCTGCCTATCGATCCAGCAAGCTGAACCTCTGCGCCGTCCAACCCTCGTCCAAAACTCAGGATGCCACGGCCGCCAACCTCGCAGACCAAACGCTATCAGAAAGACCCGTCAGCGGGTTCCACTAGCCCTCCCAAAAGCCACCATCCCTCTTAAGCACAGGTACCAAACCAGCAGGTACCTGAAAATTCTCTAGATGCCGTGGGAAGATCCGGGCAAGGAATCGGAATATGACGAGGCTGATCGGTTTTTGGAAGACGGTCCTTTTGAGGAAGCCCCCCTGTTCCATGACTGTTGAACAAAGGCACCTCGAATGGAGGGCACCAGCAAGTCATTTGGGTCATGTGCCAAACAAATCATGGACTACCAGTGTCCGTTTCTCACAGCAAACGGGGCACAACCTGATAGCCGACCTCTCTCCGGCAACGAAGCCGCGCACTGGCAAAGATCTGGGCACCACACGTCGGGTGAGTGCGTCCTTGAGAAAAGACAACGGGGGATGGCAACGCGGAATCACAACTCACACTGGAATCAAAATGGACTCTCGGCCTAGCCCCGGTTTTCCCTTGCCTCAAACTCAGTTGCATCTCTCTGAGTCTTGGACCAACCCCCTAACATGTAGCCAAGACTATGATGCGGGGGCGCTGGGTTCACGCAAATGTTTGGAGTGAAGTTTCGTCATAGGGTAAAGCACGTGGTTCCTTGTCGCACTCACCATTAAAAAAATGTGTCCCTCCTCAAATGAGCCAACAGGAGCATTAGAGAGTCCGACGGTTGTGGAAATGTGCGCCAGTCTCCATGTCCCTCCCAAATGAACACGATAGGCTGCTGCGTGCTTGAACCGAACAACAATGTGCATATACATACAGTGTACTTGCATACATATAATATTACATGTATGTATAAGTACATAGTGCTTGTATGCGTATATGTATAATATTAGTCGAAATAGGCGCAGAACAAAAATGGCAGTTGTCCCTTTCATGTCAAGAAAAAGGCTACCTGCATTGATGGGGATTGGGACGCTCGACAACTCTTTGCTGAGGTGTGAGCAAGGTGCGCGCCATCTCCGACCATGGCTCAAGGCTCACAAGTTCTTCCGGGTCTGTCTTGGAGGACCCTAAAAGGAGTGGCTTCCCTTTGATTCCCTGTGAAACCCGAGGGCTCCCTAAGACATCAACTTTTGCCGTTTCGAAGATTAGGACACCAACCATCAACAAGCGTATTACTGTATGGCAATTCAACGAGTCAGACTAGAAACAAGTACAGAACATGATTCTAAGAACCTAGGACTCGCAAAGAGCTCGTCACCGTCTGCGTTCACGGATTGCTGAACTCTTCACACTAAGCCATGAGTTGGCGGTATTTTGTTTGCGCCGTGTTGTTGGCCTGAAGTAGGAAGCAGCTGAGTCGGAAAGTGATAGTCTGAGTCTCAATTGAGGACGTTGGTGAACAGCATGGACCCAGAGATGTATGGAGCCACATGACCCGTCACTGCTTGCCAGGCCACGCACGAAAGCCCAGAGCTCCGCAAAGGTGCAAAGGACGCAGTTGCAAAGTTGTGCTTGAATCAGAGCATTGGCAAGACTGCAGTTCTTGACATTCGTGTTTATTGCAATTGGGGCCCCTTCAGAGGATTGGTTTCCTCGTGTTGAGAAAGACGGCAAGACAAGGGTCCTGCATTTCGAGACAGACCGAAAAGAGTCATCACCAATGAGGGTGGAGACCCTGGCACGTGCTCCTTTTGATTCGAGTTGTCAGCTGTAGCCGCGCGTCTCCACATACCTGCTCTGAATGCAACTCTGTGTGCATCAAAAGCGCCATATCAAAACCTCTGCCAACATTGAATCCACCACTTGCGAGCAGGTTCAGGACTGAGAGGACCAATTGGGTGTCTCTTGTGAGGGAACCCCAAAATCTCAGCCCGAACTCCCTTGCCAACTGTCGCACTTGACGCTTCGTGACGGAGGGGACCCAAGAGGCTGCATTGGCATTCGTGGTCAACATCAAACACTCTCTCTTCCAATTTTGTTGAATCCTGGAGTCCGGATCAATCATTACATTCCCTGACCTAACCATTTCGACGCATGTGAGTGCGGGGTCGAAACATCCGCGCTCGAGGTGTCCTTTTGGTTTGGGGATACGGTGGCGGAACCATACCTTGATAACATGAAGCATTGCAACACTTCCCAAAAAACACCTCGAAAAAACTCAAAAGCTTCTGGTCGAGTAGTGTGTCTGACATCTGGGTCACTTTGTCAGGAGCCTGCTGGTCAGCGTCATCAACTCCTGAGAAACTCGCCGTGGAAACGAGACAGGGTCCCCATATCTGTGGTATTGAACATCACCTTGGGTGATGTTTTAAGCGGGACAAAGGACCCCTACAAGTGAATCTCGGGAAAACACCGACTTGCCGCTTGAAACTGCCGGTCACAAACGGACTCTCAAAACCACCCAAAAAAAATGCTCTGGCCCATGCCCGTGCGCAGTCAAGGCACGCTGGTCTGGCAGTACGTGGCGCCAGGCGGTATCACCTAAGGAGAGAGCAGTGGAACCCCCTGAACTTGGCCAACAGGCCGCTGCGCAGCTCAGATGTGTGAGTGTGTCTTCTTATGTTTATGTGGTTGCGTCTGTGTGTTGTGTGTGTGTGTGCGTGTTGTGCTATGTGTTGTGTGTTGTGTGCGTGTCTGTGTGTCTGTGTCTGTGTGATTGTGTGTGTGCGCGCGTGTCTCTGGGGGTGTATGTGCCTCAAATGCGCATGAGCGTATGCATGTGCATGTGGTTGTGGGGGTTCGTGCGTTCTGATCATAAGAATTATCATCATGCCGAACTCTGCCTCTCTTCCCGACTTGGCGGTTTTCTTGTCCCCCTTCACTCCGGGATTCCCCAGGCTGTTGTCAGGCGGTAAGCCCTTTGCGGGGGAGAAGAGCTGCTGCAAGGCCTGGTCCAAGTTGCAGATGTGCTCGCCTGGAAGGCCGAGCGCGGGCAATGCGAACGGTCACCGAGCACGGGGAGATGCCAAGCAGGCGTGCGTGTCTGTGTGCGCGAATGTGATTGTGTGTGTGTGTGTCTGCGTGTATGAGTGTGACTCCTTGTTTGTGGTGACACGGCTTCGGGGGAGGGGGTGGGGGGGGGGGGGGGGGGTTACGTTCGTGGTCACAGCGAGGGCCCAAGAGCGTATAGTAGGGCTAGATGGCCGGCGGCGCGGTTTTTGAAAAGATAGCGCCAGTGCAAAATGATCGCTTTCGCATCGCTTTGTCTTCGGTTCCTCTCGAATACACTTTTTTGTCCCCAGTGATCGTTTTTTTTGCAACACCTCGTCTTGACAATTCCACACAAAACGAAACAGCGGTGTTACACCGGGCTCCAAGAAGCCGTGTTACCTTGCTTGTGGGTGGGATTCCCTGCAAAACTTGCTTTACCCAGGTTTTGGTTGCGGCTCTTGACTGGCAGTCCAGGCCAATTCAGCAGCGTGCGCCTCTAAACAGCTGCTTGCTTCGTACATAGTCCATGACCTGGCGTCCCACCCCCCGCCCCCGGCCCCCCCCAAAAAAAAAGAAGAGTAAATAAAGATGGTGTCCCTTTGGTCTTCCTCAATCTCAACCAAGGCAGCCAAAATTCGCACAGCCATATGACCTTGCATACACGCACGCAAAGTCCAAGAAACGCATCTGATTCAGTTTCCATTTGCCTCGTGGGCAACTTGTCTGCCAAGTCCATCCCCCCTGATCCGCGCGGACCTCTTTTTGTCCCACACGTTAAGTCTGCCTCTCTTTGGGTGTCTCGTGGGGCGGATTTGTCCGGGAAAACGAGGCCACGCCCAGCCAAGCACGGCACAAACTCATAGCCGTGGACTCAAAGCACCAAACCATATCTTCTGAGCGTACCGAGCCGGCGCGCTCAAAGGTAAGGGAGGCTTTTGGGACTGGCAAAAAGCGATGGCTGGGCGCACAAAGGTTTGCGCAAAGCGCTGGAATCGCGCGACATGATGGCGCACGGTCAATCAATAGCGGCAGCTGGCTGCCGATGGGCCAAAAGGTGTTTGATTTTCACCGCCGGTCCTAGGGAGGCGGTTCAGCAGTTCGCGACTCAGGTGTCAAGCTGCCTGCTTGAGACACCTGATCAGGCTCAGTGGCTGAAATGTCCGTAGTGTTGTGATAGGGGGAAAATGTGGGGAAGGCCAAAGCCTTGAGGAATATTCCCTATGTCAAATGGCTGAAAACTTCAGCCCTGTGAAGAAAAGCCATCCCTCCAAAAGCAAGAATGGCCTGGCCTTTCCCATGTCTACAGTTGCCTTTTCTGCTTTCTTTCGACTTAACCACCGTGACGATTTTGTCGCTGCTTAGAACGCGGGTTGCTTGGCTGGCTACACCCATACACCCCTCTCATAAGGTCATAAGTGCCACCTTGAGCGCGTCACAACGTACCCTCACCCCAAGCAGCACCCTTGGCCAGCAACCTGGCTGACCTGCGCCAACGACTCCAGTACCCCTAACAGCAATCGCCAAACAGCAAGCGACAGCAACTGCCACTGCACTTTGAGACAACCAGCGACGACCCTCCCCCACCCCTCCAGGCTAAAACATGCCGGGGCGCTCTCAGCTCCTATCCGCCGTGCGTGAGGGAGAAGCTGGAGCGCAGCGACCTTGTAGCACGAGCAAACAGCGCAATGGCCAGCGACAATGGAAAAATTGTGCACATGCGATCCATCCACACACCCACCCCATCCATCCGCCCGTCCGTCCGTCCATCACCTCCCTCCCGCCCTCTCTCCCTTCCTCCCTCCGTCCCTCCCTCCAGGATCAAAAGAAAAACGTTTTAGGCATCAAAAAAAACTTATTTCTGAAGATCCAAGAAAACTTTTTAGGGATCAAAAAAAAGCATACTCATTTCGTGGCAGGCGAAGCACTTTCGCAAGGTCAGGTACAGGTTTCGTGGCAGGCGCGGCACTTTCGCAAGGTAGGCGCCATGCTTTCGCAGGTCAGGTACAGATTTCGCGGCAGGCGCAGCACTTTCGCAAGGAGCGGTACAGATTTCGCGGCAGGCGCAGCACTTTCGCAAGGTCAGGTACAGGTTTCGTGGCAGGCGCACTACTTTCGGAAGGTCAGGTACAGATTTCGCAGCAGGCGCAGCACTTTAGCAAGGTCAGGTACAGATTCGCGGCAAGTGCAGGACTTTCGCAAGGTGCGGTCCAGATTTCGCGGCAGGCGCAGCACTTTCGCAAGAGGTGACAATTTCGCAGCAGGCGCAGCCCTTTCGCAAGGAACGGTGCAGAGTTTGACGCAGGCGCAGCATTTTCGCAAGCAGTGAAGAAAACTATATAAAGATATAAACATGAAGAAAAAGGGAGAAAACAGAGAGAGAGAGAGAAAGAAAGAAAGAAAGAAAGAAAGAAAGAAAGAAAGAAAAAAAAGAAAGAGAGTGATGATGGAGGAAGTGATGATTCAGCAAAGGGTGCGTTAAGCTTTGTATACATTCGGAAAATCAGCGGGGGGGTTGGGGGGGCGGCAGCTCCCCCCCATGATGATCGAAGAAGTGATGATTCAGCAAAGGGTGCGGTAATCTCTGTAAACATTCTGAAAAGCAGCGGGGGGGTTGGGGGGGCGGCAGCCCCCCCCACGATGCTCGAAGAAGTGATGATTCAACAAAGGGTGATGATCGAAGAAGTGATGATGCAGCAAAGGGTGCGTTAATCACTGTCAACCTTCTACGAATCAGCGGGGTGGTTGGGGAGGTTCCTTCCTTCCTTCCTTCCTTCCTTCCTTCCTTCCTTCCTTCCTTCCTTCCTTCCTTCCTTCCTTCCTTCCTTCCTTCCTTCCTTCCTTCCTTCCCTGCTTCCTTCCTTCCTTCCTTCCTTCCTTCCTTCCTTCCTTCCTTGCTTGCTTGCTTGCTTGCTTGCTTGCTTGCTTGCTTGCTTGCTTGCTTGATTCCTTCCTGCCTTCCTTCCTTCCTTCCTTCCTTCCTTCCTTCCTTCCTTCCTTCCTTCCTTCCTTCCTTCCTTCCTTCCTTCCTTCCTTCCTTCCCCCCATAGGAATGAGCATAAGTTTTTGTTGATGCCTAATAAGTTTTTGTTGATGCCTAATAAGTTTGTGTGATGCCTAATAAGTTTTTGTTGATGCCTAATAAGTTTTTGTGATGCCTAATAAGTTTTTTTTGATGCCTATCCCATTCATTCGTCCGTACATCCATGGGTGACATGGATGCATGGAGCGGAAGAGACATGGCGGAAGCTCAGGCAGGGGCGGCATAGATCAACACGCTCCTCGGCTCAAGCTGCTGCGAGCCGGCCCGTGCTCCAAAACTGGAAAGGATCCTACTAGGATTCCAAAACTCGAAGGAAGTCCACGCCAGGCCTCCAAGGGACCCTTTGGAATTCCCGCTGTTTTAGGGGTGAGCTCAACTGCGCTTGCCACTTTGGAGACCTCTGCGGGAAATTGGTCAACCAAAGCGCAACCTCTGGCCAAGAGAGGAACCCACACGTTTTGAGGCCCTTAACGCTGACGTTGTCATGTCCCTCCTGGTGCGCTTCAAAGGATCAGGAAACAGCGATTGAATCAAAGGAACAGTGAGACTGTTCTGGGGCAATTTCTTCCAAGGTCTCCATGGTCAGTGTTCGGCCTGCAGGGTTGAAATCCCTTTTGAAACACGGGGTTGCACACCAGAGCATTTCCCAGAAACGAAGGCGGCGAACTTCGGCTCCAGCCGATGGCTCTATCTTGCACCCTGGCTGGAGTAGAGAGTGAGCATTGATATGGGTATGTTCGCCCCCATTTGGCTTTAAAGGCAACCAACAAGGAAACCATCCCTTTAGGGGGGTGGGGGGGGTTCTTTAGGCAAGCCCAAGACTGCGTCTCACCAGATCCAAGCATCAGCGGCTGCGGCGCCGCAGAGCTCACGGCGCTGTTGTCGGGATTCTCCGACTCCACCGCCAGAACCTCGCCAGAGCGGGCTGGAAGCGTGCTGGTTGTCATTCGCATGGCACCTACCATTTTTGGGGGGGGGATGCCAATGCAAATACCCATGGAAAAGATAAGCTCCGGTGATATCCTTAACAGCATGCGGTGCTCTTTTAGTGCTCGCACCACCCCGCAGCCCTCGCAGAACCGTGGAACCCTGGTGGAACCCTGGTGGAACCCTGGTGGAACCCTGGTGGAACCCTGGTGGAACCCTGGTGGAACCCTGGTGGAACCCTGGTGGAGCCCTGGTGGAACCCTCGTGGAACCTTGCCTCAGGGCCGCCCCGGACCACCCCGGAGCCGATCTGGGCTGAGACCCCAAAGCTTTCAGCTGTTGGGGAAAAAAACGACACCCACATCAAAACCGGCCAGCCTGCTGGGTGTATTGGCCGGCTCCGACCTCCTCCATCTTCTGGGTCAACAGGACGTTGAACTCTCGCACGGTGACGGCATCCAATTTGTCCTTCACCTCACCCACCAAGAGCAGCATTTTTGCACACCAAGAACGCCATGTGTGCTGCAAAACTCCGGCATGCTCAGGCCCGAGCCGACTGCAAGGAGATGCTGGAATTGTCATTTGGTATGTTCAGGATGTATGTCACGGTGATGTTCCCAGGCTCATCCACAATCATCTGAATGTCCTCGGAGCACAGCCCCCTCCCGCGCTGTGCCTCCCCTTAGCCCTGCCATTGAGGGTGCTGCCACCATGTCTTCGTAGAGACCAGTGATGCCCAGCATCACCTGGTCAAAAAATCGGAGACTGACCCCTGCTTCAAAAAGGCAGCCACTTGCTAGTTGCTAATGTCTGACCCGCCTCCTTGTACGCTGCGCTGACCCTGGAGTCAGTGACATAGTTCAAGGAATCCTCCACCGACACGGTGGCCTGCACGGTCAACCTGCGAGACTCGAGCGGTCGGGTCCCCAAACATCAGGTTTACTGTGCTTTGAGTCCACGAATGCGCAAGAGCCTTGCATATTTCGGAGTTCATGACTCTTTGGCTCGACAGAGATGACTTGGAATTGGCGTAGCGAGCTTACCGAAGGGAATCCCCTCCCAAAATTGACACCCCATCTCTCGAAAGGTGTCCAAAAACTGCCAGGAGAAAAAAAAAGCCCGGCGTGTCCTGACTGCGCTGGAAGGGTCCCATGGGAATGGAGTTGTTCTGACCTCCGTGGTGGTCGGAGCTTCTGTTGTCATTGGTGTTGTGGTGGCTGCAGTCGTCTGCATGGTGGTCATGGTGGCAGTGTAGCTCGTCGCCGTCTGGGTCACCTTACTTGCCCAAAGGCTTCAGGAAACCACAAGCTGAACCTTTTGGAACGACCAATCTGGACCGAACAGGGAATACCAAAGGTGACGAGGCCGGTAACAGTCAATTTGCTTGCTGAGTCACAGTGTCGGTCGAGGTGAAGGTTGTAGTGTGAGTGTTCGTCTGGGAGGTCGTCGTGTTGGTTCCCGTCACTGAGGTCACCGTGGTGGTCACCGAGGTCACTGAGGTCGTTGTGCCAGTCACGGAGGTCGTGACTGTCGTGCTCGTGACCGTCGCGGTGACGCTTGTGGCGGTGGAAGTGAAGGTCCCCGTGGTGGTCGTAGTTGTGATGCAGCAAGGCTCAGCGCAAACTTCGCTGCAGCCAGGGACGCCCGACACGCCTGCCGTGGCAAGCTTGGACAAAGACGACAAATGTCAAAATCCGGACCCTTCGAAATGGCTTCTCACGATTAATGCTTTTATCTGAAAAGTGCTCCCAACATTGGCACAGCCAGACATCGTGACCAAGTCACAGGCGACGCAAGCAATCTTGCGATTCAATGCACTCCTGCGTTCAAACGGGAAATTACTTTGCGCCAGACCAGAATCAGCTGCCTGGCCGGCGAGGAGCAGATGTGCTTTATCTCTTTTCATGTGTCCCAGTGGTCCGAATTGGTCTCTGCTAGGTCGGATGTGACTTGCTTAACATTGCTTAAAGGGCATTTCGCCCCGATTCGAACGGCATCGCACGTCTTCTCGACTTGACTTGTAGCTTCTGCCAAAAGAGATACCTCGCAAAAGTGAACGCAGGGCTTTTGGACCTTGGACCTAAGCTCGCCAGTTTCGATATGCTACGCCCCACACTGGCCTAAGCAAGTCAAGCCAGCACTGGCAAGAGACATGCAGCTAGCTGATCCAGCACATGGCGATGTCCAGGTGGAGTCGGGACATCCTTGCCGGAGGGCCCAATGGTGGCAGTGCTAAGGGTTGACTGGAGCACCAAAGTAAGAAGCATATTTCCAAGAGCAGAGACCTGCAACATCAGGGAACGTCAATGAGGCCCCGGCCGAAACTCCCAAGGGGGAGTACATGTAGCTCTCTCAATTGGGATATTGTTGGTTGCTCTCAAACCTCATTGCTAGAAGGGTCGAACCTGGCAATGATTTCCACTCCAATCTCAAAAGCCATTCCGCAAAACTCATAACGCGACCCTCACATCCTGCGGTAGTGTGCTGTGTTTGTTCCGCTTTTTTTAAATTTATTCATTCTTTTATTGTTTTTGTTTTTTACTTTTCGCGTCAGGTGTCCCTCAGGCTTCGTCTGCCCGTTGACGACCAGCCAGAGCCAAGGCAAGGCCAGGCAACGCATGGCGTGAGCCGCCCGGGGCTGGAGTGGCCAGCCCGGGAAGGAAGGCTGAGCCAAAAGGCCCTCAGAGCCTCACACTCGGAGCGCAGTCTCACCAGTTACGACACACCCCTAGGTCGAGAATGACAAAAACCATGCCAGTGCTGAGCCGAAGCCTGGCTCACCTCTCCCAACGCCTGACCCTCAAAATCGTGAGTCTGCCGATACCAAGTTCTGGCCAGCGCCTGACTTCGATGCTCAAAATGTACCATGTCCCAGCAAAAAGGCTGCACCTTGCTCACCAGCCGCTCTCTACCTGAACTGGCTGGCAGTCGGTCCAAATACAGAACCCGAAGAAGGTGAGACTTTGTTTTCTCTGCAAACCGACCCAAAAACAATACCTGAAGAACACACGCTCATCCGTCGGCTCGACGTTCTAAAGAAAAAAAGGCATGTGGAAGTTTGCAGAGGCTTTGCTCTAGAGGCCCCAAAACCCATGACCCAAGTCTACGAGCTCCCCCAAAGGTGTGTCGCAACCCCACGGTAGGCTCTTGCGTTCGAAAGGCTTGGCACCTTTTTGGGGGTGGTTGAGGGGCGCCAAAGAAAACCTCTCATTTTGCGGGGGTTGCCCTCTTTGGAGACAAATCTAGGCACACTGGGTCCATGGCTTATTTTGCGGGAGTCCGAATTTTGAGACGAACTGAAGTTCTCTGAGCCCTCCACTGCCAGGCTGAGTGACTCGAGCTGCCTTGCGCATATGGCCCTTGAGGTCGCTTTAAGCAGAGGGAAGAGGATTTTGTGGCGGACTAAAAATGCATGGAACGTTTTTTGAGGGACAGGCCAACTCGATCGGCCCTGCATGGGTGTGTTATAACAAATCAGGGGACCGCCCAAAATGGTGGTTGTCCCTTTGACTTCCCTTTGAGCAACCCCAACAAACAGGTGCTCCTCAAAAGCGACACATCCATATGGACTTTCGCAGTTCCCAGCTGCCCTTGCAACAGGAAGCGAGCCATGGGGAGGATCCATAGGGGAAATGGCGAATCCCCAAAATGTGAACAGAAGCTGGCAGCTCTTGAGCCCAGCACGTGTGTCCTGCTGATTACGGTGCTACTGTGCTCACAGGAGTGGGATGGGCAAGGCCACATCATGCTACTGCGGCCAAAAGGAGACCTCCAATACACTCAAACAAACAATGCCTCCTGCCCGAAGAAGCGCTCGAAGACTTGCTGCCAGAGCTGCCTCTCCGTGACCTCGGTGGACGGGGCTTTGGACGGATTCTTCACGCTCCAAGTCTAGCTCCCCAGCACCCAACAGCAAACTCACAGATCAACGTGGCAACCAAAAATGTTGAAAACCACCCGAAGGGGGAATATAGGAACCCCTGAAACTGGGAGTTCAAACAACCGCATGGATTCATCGGCAAATGAGGGAATACCCCGCCGCCCCTCTTGGGAATACTAGGGTTTACGCCACCCGTTCATCACGGGGTTCACGCGAACAAACACAGGTTGTGGTCGAATACCCCCCAGTTTGTTTGCACGGGGTAGCCTTTTGCAGGGCTCGGATTGAATTATCAATCCAAGGAGGATCCTTCTATCTTCCGGATCGTGCAGGTTGACCTCGGACTAATCAATTGGGGGCTTGTCAATCCTTGGTACCTGACAGAAGGCTCCCCTTAAAAAACAAACAAACAAACAAACAAACAAAAACAAGAATGAATGAGCTTCAGCGTTCCCTGTACAACCTGGAAGACTTCAGGAAGGGTTCCGAAAACTTAATTTTGAGAACCTAGAAAGTAGAGGGTTCCGAAAACTTAATTTTGAGAACCTAGAAAGTAGAGTCCCAGTGTACCAATGTCCCTGGCGATTTGGCCGGACCCTGGATTCCACGCAACATGGATTCCAAAGAGAGTCGGGGGCACGCCCCTTTTAGATAGACCAAAACGCCCAGGGTTTCGGGGCTTGCGCGTGTTCCTGTTAGGATGCCTTCACTTTCTCTGCTCTTCAGGGGAGTCCCTCACCTTGCGAAAATTCCACGGCTCAGATGATAAGCCACTGCTGAATCAACCGACGGCCTTCCTTTGCGCATCGATCAAAGATGTGCGGGCCGACTGGGCCCCAGACCCTGCGAAGGTTCGCCTGGCCAACCTCGTTTTGTTGTTGGACAACCCCGATCGGTTGGATCCGGCTAAGGCTTCGCGTCAGAATGCGGGTGCCTTCTTTGCCTCTCAGGCCACTGGTTCAAAAGATGTTTGCCCCAATGGTCGCCTACTAAAAGCAGCACCCCTGAACCTGTCCGGCTGAGGAATGGCTGTGCGGCCGCACCGGCTGCGTCATCACTGCAGAGGCTGTATGCACCTCGCAAGCTCCCTTGAGACTAGAAAACTCCGAGCTTGAGTGCCACACGAATCCATCGGATTTCTGCCCCGCTTCAACCAAACCAAATCAACAACATGCGAGGGCGCAAGCTCGCTAAGCCTGCGGCAGATGCCACAGGCGCCAGGGATGGCGCCGGTGCCATGGATGGTGGCATGGATGACGCCATGGATGGCGTCGGCCCGCAGTTTAGGGACTGCGGCTGCTGTGGCAGCTGTGCCTCCAGCCGCGCGGGCCGCTCGCGCTCCGGACGTTCCACGTGGCCGAGGACCGGCATGGGGGGCGACAAAGGCTGGCCGTCCGGCGCCTGGCAAATGCGGCAGGTCGCCAGGACGGACGGTAAAGCAAACAGGAATCTGCCAAACTTGGAACAAGCTTGTCGTTCACAAAGGCGAGCGCTTATGAAGTGTACCTCATGTCAATCATAGTTATGTTGTACGGGATGAAGCCAATTGTCCAGGAATCGCAAAACCAGCTCCCAAGTCTGGCCACAAACCAGCCGAGCCTGGGTTGAACTGTTTTAGGACGACCTGTTTTTTGTCGACCAGGCAGACAGCCACCCAACCAACCAACCAACCAACCAAGCAAAAAACCAACCAACCAACCAACCAAGCAAAAAACCAACCAACCAACCAAGCAAACAAACAAACAACCGACCAAACAAACAAACAAGCAAACAAACAAAACACTGGCAAACCAACGAGGAGAAACCGACTCCGGGACGAAAGCGACCCCATGGCCTCTAGCTGCCACCTGGCTTCACAAGGCCCAGGCTCCGCAGGCGCCCGCATCTGCGCCTCGAAGGCGGGAAGGCGGCAGATTTGGCCGCACGTCCCGAAATCAGATGGCTGCGGCCCACAAAAATGGAGCCAAAATGGCAGCCTATGGAACCAAAGACTACACCTGCGTAGCCCTAGCCCTTTCATTTTGTGCCACACCCACATCTGAAGCCGTGCTGAATGCAAGGGCTGCCAATTTCCTGGACTCAGCATTGCCGGATCCTTACCTTTGCTCCGGAGAAATTTGGAGGCTGTGCATGTGCTTTTTGGTTGAGTCAGGACTTCCAACTTGCTGATTCTCAGGGAATGAGGGAATGACCCTTATCCTTCTTGTTTGTAGACTCAAGTTCACGAGATTCCATTCCGGTTCATTCCTCGAAAAAGCACCAAGCCTCAAAATCTATATACAGGTGATTCTCACAGAAACCTAGACATGGGTGGTGTGCCTGTAGTAAAGGGTCCATCATTTTGAGAAGGAAGTGAAAAGCAACATAGGCCCTCTATGTCCGCTGTTTGAACGTGCCAGGGGTTGGTTGGGTCCGACTGAATCCACCGACTTGGCATGAGGCCGGAGGCTTGTGTGGGAGAGCCAGAAAAGAAAGGGGTGCCACCCCTACAAGAAGACGCAACCATCTGCGCCACTGCAACTGTTCTATTCTGGCGTTGTAAAGAATTCTCGCTTGCCGACTGAACTCCTGGATTTGATGCTTCAAAAAGGGCCACCAAAGAAAAGAAGACCAGGGGTGGTATCCTATTTTGAGACCACCGAGGGCGACCTGTTATCCATTGATCAACCGGGGGGTTCATCAATCCTGCCCATGACAGGGAAACAGAGACCGAACAGTTTGGGGGGAAGCTGCTTTTCGAGCTCTGACTAGCCAAAAGCTAAACCGGGTTGGTTGCAAACAAATATGGCCCACCTGTTTCTGCGCACAGAAGGGAAACTAAATGGAAACCCTGAAAAAAAAACAAGACCAGCTCAATGCAGCTGTTTTGAAACTGAAGTAAAGTCAAGCCACCCACAACACCCTCAAAAGAAGACACGCCGAGCCAGCTGCGCGGACTGACCCCCGCAGTGCGCCTGCAGCGTCACGCGGCCCTCCGGAACCACTGGCGTGAGGCTCGAGCCGCCGGAACTGCTGGAGGCGGGCGCCAGAGTGCCCCCGAGGAACCGCAGCCGGCACCCGGCCCAGGTCTCCTCTCTATTCGAAGGGGTGGGGGGGGGGTGGGGGGGGGGGGGGGGGGGGGGGCGTTTGAGGCCTACAGATTAACATGAAACCAACAAGAAAAAACAGGAGGAAACGCCTTTTGGGAACTGGACTCCTTTCCGGGACCCCGGGATTTGGGGGAGGGGGGGGGGGGATATCTACAGATTCAAAAAGACCAGGAAATTCCTTCGAACATCTTCGAACTGGCCTCCGAGGTGTTGGTGAAGGTCCACTCCACCGTCACCTTCTTCCGCGGGGGCAGCGGCCCCAGCAGCGTGGCGCCCTGGGCGCCACCGCCCGCGCCGGCGCCACCGGTGAAGCCCTGGAGGGCCTCGGGTTCCAAGGGAAACCCAAACCAAAGCCGAAGGAACCAAAGCAAGTCATAGAAATGTCCAACAAAACCAAAAAACAACAAAACCAGAAAGCAAGATTAGGTTGAAAGGAAGGGTTTGGAACAAAAGGCCGAGCCAGTGTGTCTCTATGGCTCACGTGCCAAAGAGGCCCTGGATGTGTTTGAGGTGGGACGGGGGTGGGATGGGGAATGATGACATGCCCGTCACAGCGACGCCCCGGGAGGCAAAGAAAACAATCATGACTGTTTCGCATGGCTTGCGGGGCATCTGTATAAAGCAAAAGCGTTCGCGGCAAGTGCCAAAACCACAAACACGCACAAACGTGTTTGTGCTTGCCTTGAACGCTCTTGCACCACGCAATGCTGAACATGCCATGCACGTAGGCGGCCATGCGAGACTATCGTAACTTCCCGGGCTCCAAAAAGCCGTGTTGCCTCGTGTTTGCTCCCTCTCAACCCACACGGCGTAGTCTACCAAAACGCCTATGACAGCCGTGACAGCCCAAAGGAAACTATACAGGAAGTTGGCCAAACTCTCACCAAGACCGGCAAAATCCTCGAAACAGTCGCTCCCGAACCGCAAAATCCGCCTGCACCGCAGCCTTGGCGGCCGCCTGCTCTACGATGGGCTGCAGGGCCGGCAAGAGCCGGCCCAGCCTCACGCAGGAGCCGGCCGCCAGTGGAAAACTGTTTTGAAAAATACGCGGGCCGTCTCAAAATAAAAGAAAGGAAGCCCAAAACGGGAGACTTCCCTTCCAAACCCAAAAAGCCAGCCCCAAAAGGGAAGCAACTATACCAACTCGGAAAAGGAAAAAACACCACCTGTTCCCAAGAAGCCAAAGGGTTAAAGATCCAAATAGCAGACAAGCAGCAGAGCCTCGCACAGCACCTCCAGCTGCGCGTCCAGCGGAGACGCCATGAGCGATGCTCTGAGAAAATGAGAAAATGAGATCAAGGGAATTGTTTTTGTTTGACCCTCACACGCGGCTGGTTTGCTTTTTGACCCTTAGAGGAAGATCAGATCGGGATTTACCTTTCGACCCGAATCAAGGCACTCCGAAGAGGATTTCTCCGGTCCAATCTGATTTACCACCAAGAAAGGAGAAAGGCAAACATACGGGACCTTGTTCCTGCTGGTTGGCTTTCTGATGGTTGGAGGATAAGGTGGCGATGTGGTCTTAACTTCGCGTGGCATGTCCTGTGCTTTGAGCCAATGGCCCTAGCAAGGAACATATTTGGTCTTGTGATTTGACGACAGAAAGAAACAGCTCAGCCTGGGTTTGCAGTCTGCGCTTCAAGTACACGGAAGAGCAGCACAATCCATTGGCCTTTGATTCTACCCAAAGTGCTTGTACAGATATGTATAGGCAGTAGAGCCTGCCGAAATGCCACCAAGTTTTGAGCGCTGCTAAGGTGGCAAGTCGCCGAATCTTTGCCGCTCGAAGCACTTAGCAACTCATTTGGCTCTACTGTATACCTCTTCTGGCAATTTCGCCTGCCTTGCACACCTCTATTGTCACCTTGAAGATCCTGAAATTGCAGAAGAGGGGTATGGCCCATGCTTGCGACAAGCATGAAGATATTTCACTAACTACTGCACTGTCACTATCTTAGACATAGACGGCAGAGTACTTGGTGCTAGGTGCAATGGCTCAAACCACGGCAAAACGAACTCGCCTGACTCTGCCGTCTACCCGCACTCACGGCGCCAATCCAGCGCGCACTGCTGAAGGGCTGTGCGCACGTCCTACACTTCGCTTGGACTCGCCGAGCTAGCTCAATTGCTTTGACCAGCTTCGCCAAAATTCTGCGCTTCGGAACTACCTTATGCACAAAGTCGACCAAGTCCCTGGAACCAGACTAAGAAACGCATTTGGCTTCTCAAAAGAGGGATTGGACCCCCAAACGTGTGTTCCTTGTGTTTCCCTTTAAGACTTCCAAGGGCACCTTTCGCCTAAGAGCCACTCATTTGAGCCACGGTCCTTGACAGAGCAGTCTTGGGAGAGCACCTGGCCATTCACAGTGTCCATTCAAAAAGTTCGGGGCTCCGAATGTGTTTCCTGATCCCAAAAAGCTTCTGTCTTGTGGTTTGCTTGGGGGAATGAAACAAGCAGTCACGGAGCTGGGAATGGAACATTGTCCAAAAGGTTAAACATGGTACGTCTTGCTGTTTAGCAGGGAAGTTGCCATTTGCCAACGGATATATTTTTTAAAAAGACTGTCTTCTACTTAGTAAGGCCAAAGTGAATTTCCACAAGGCTCGACCGCTTTATCCTTGCTGCGTAGTTGGCAAATTGCCACTTTACACAGGCTTGCACTTTTTGCTGGTCAGGGAAATTGATCAAAAAATGGTCCAACAAGATGCGTCAGGTCAAACCCAAGGACCCTGCGGCATTCCATTTTTGGACTCTCCAAAATAGGCTCAGATTCCGGGGATTTCCTCTTGGGGGCAACCATTTCTCAGTTTAAGTCCACCTTTGGGTGGTCAAAGAATGGAGCGCTGCCCTGTGGGGCCACCAAGACGTCTTACAGCCACCAAGACGGCGCCTCGCAAAGCCTGCGGGGCGCTGCCTCGCTGCGCAGCCCCGGCAAAGCGCTCACCTGTGGCCGCGTGCGAAGCGGTCGCGGATTTTGTCCATCCTCACCCTATCAACCGACGTGGAATGCGTCAATGTGCTGTTAATGGCCCATTTCACCACCACGTGGCAGGCTAAAAGCGAAACAGCCCCAGTTTCATACTTGCCGACAGTCTGAGCCAGGCACCAGGGCTTGCTGGAAGGTTTCCTTCGTCTGTTGCAAGTGGACCTGTAGGCATTGGAAGAATCTGCTGAATACTCGCTTGCCACCAAAGGCCAAGTTGGTATGTGTCCAAACACATACACACAAGTAAAATATGATCATCGTTCGGGAGCGAAACACTTCGGAAGGCTAGACACACTCGTTTGGACAGGTGAGACAACGTGCCTTGCATGGCCATGTAGTTTTCAGTGGGGAACACCCTCCACAGTTGGCGGACACAACCCCAGTCAAATAACGTCCACGAAAGGGCCTGCATATAAGCATCATACCCACGTGCAAAGCGACTTGACTGATGGTCTCGTCAGAATCAAAATCTGGTACTAACACTCGGCCCAAACTAGTGCAATATGTTGCAAAGGCGGCACCGCATTTTGTCTAGGACAGTCCCCCACTCACCTTCAACCCCGGTTTTGAGGGTCACTTCTCATGCCGCCGCCATCCTGCGGCTGCGTTCGATTCATCACGGAGTGCAGGATGGAGGAGGCCTGACGTTGGTCGCAGACCTAAGCCTGGGTCCATTTTTTGAATTCCTCAGACCCCTCATGCTCGGGAAACCCAAGCTTTGGCGGCACGCCTAGAGCGCAACTCCGAAGGGACCCCTTTTTTGCCTTGTTTTAAAGCGAAACCGAACGGAAACCGCGACTCCGAAAAGCACACACTCATATGCACGTAAGACAGTCCTCATTCAGGACCTTCTGCGACTGAAAATCGCTGTAGTCCATGCCTGGGAAGGTTTGCGGCGCCCCTTCTCCAGGCAGAGGTCTCTTTGTGTTTCTCCTTTCAAGGTCACCATTTCAGACAAAGCTCATCTAAAACCGGCCTTTCCGAAAGGTGCTGTTTGAAACCAGAGGGGGAGCATTGCCAATCTGATCTTGAATCAGGCAGAGGAGTGCCCATAGGAACCGGAAACTTTGCCTTTCACAATCTCATCCACTTCGCTATCGCGTCCATGCAAACTTGCGAATTTGGACTTGCCGGCTTTGAGATGCGGGCGCACCACCGACCAGAGCAAGCGTTGCAGCAGCTGTGCCTCTGTTTGGCAAATCCAAAGTCGCAATCCGAACCGCGCACTCTGGGGATCCACCCAAAACTGTGCAAAGAAGATTTGCCTCTGTGGGACTGTCCACCAAAACTCTAAACTTCCTTTACCTGGAATTGATTGCGTCTTGAATGGAAGCGCATTGCACGCAAAACAACGGGGGGGGGGGGGGGAGTGTATGGTGGAGAGTTCGCCTATTTTGCAACCGCCTTCTTTCGGGTTCTGAGAGTTTGGGCCCTGAGAGAGAAAGTCGAAGTGTCCATGGCTACTGGGGCAGAGGCCCTTTCCAGCCATCTGGGGGGGATCGTTGGGGGTTCAACATGTTCCATGGCCACCCCTCCCTCGCTGCAGGGTGAGGCCCCAAAAGCTGTGCTCCTCGAACTAATCCTCTCCCACAAACCTGGCACCCGGTTGCCTGTATCATGAAAGCGTTTGGGGGGAGGATTTGCGCAGTGACTAACCCCCTAAAGTGGACAAGGCTTGGGCACTGCTCAGGAGCGATGAGATACGAACGTGACATGAGAGACGCGTTGACTGGCAACAGGAAAACTGCCAAATTAACGAATGCCGCCTCCCCCCAGGGCCAACAATTATCCTAATTCAAGGAATCCTACAACGAGAGGTGCCAATGCGTTATGCAGGGCATCTTGCCCCATGTGCAACCTGTCCAGTGGCTTAGTAGAGTGCTGGTGCTGAACCCTCCATGCGGCCTGAAAGACCCACGAAAAACACACAATGGGGGGATTGCTTTATCTTGAGGCAAGCGCACTATCTGCCTCGCACTGTAGCTGCTATCATTCAGCTCTATCTCAATCATTCCAGAACCGTCTGATGTGCGTGGAGGTGACAACAGTGTGAACTGTTTGTGAATAAATACGTATCTGTGTCTGTGTCAAGTCTCTTCAGCTTTTGCAGACTCGGGGTCGCCTTGTCCTTTAAGTTTTTGGTCGGCTCCAGTGATTCACCACAGGGCATGTCTCAACGTGGTGAGCCCTTTTTGGCTGGTATTTGAAGGGAACCAAAGCAAACTGCACATCCTCTTTTGAGAAGCACTCATTTCGCCCGACAGGCAATGATCCGGGTTTCGCTGAGCGCCGCTGCCATGGGAAAAGCAGTGATCGCCTCGGGAAGTTGCCATGGCGCTGAAAGCTCCCCTCTCACCTGTCCTGCATGCCCCCAAATGGATTGACTCGAGCAGTTTATTTGGACAGAAACGCCCAGAGGTCCTCTTTAAGCATCGCCCAAAGAAAGGCCGCCGCCTCAGTCGATCCGAAACCCGGTCTGGAGGCTCTCTGGACCCGGCCGCAGCGGACTCTGCGCTCATCGCCGCGAGTAAGGCCTCGGCCGGGCCAAAGCGCCGGTTGCAACACGCCACAAACCTGGCACAACCGTTGCAGATGTGTATATACATATATATATATATATGTATGTATATATACGCAAAACCATATACATGTGTATAGAAAAATACTATATATATATATATATATATGTATATATATATATATGTGTATATATATATTATATATATATATATATATATATATACATATGTGGAAACGGCTGGCACCCATGCATAGAGCTACCCTGACCGCCTTCAGCGAGTGGGCGCAAGCGCAAAAGGCGGTAGTGATGTCATCTGGTGGAAGTTGGGAAAGATGTGGCGCAGGCGAATGAAAGAAATGAAAGGAAGGCCCAGGACTGTATGGACGTGGGAAGCAACAGTGAAAAAAATAACGTCGCCAACGGCACGAATGTCGTTGAGGATGTCAAAGGCACTTGCAACCCTTGTCTCCTAAGCGTTGGGTAAGACTGGGTTCCCACCCCTCTTTTAGAAAGTCTTCTAGTCTCATCGTCTGTTTGAGAGGCAATGGAAGAATCGGAAGTAGGCGTAGCTGTAAGTGCAGGATCGTGCGGCCATAACAAGAACAACAAGCGCTGCCCACAACACAAGCCTCTGGGAAAAACAAGTCCTTGCCATTCGCGAGAAGGAACAAGCCTCCAACCAAGGAGCCTCCGGCGGAATCACGCCCAAGGCCAAATGCTGACTGAAACCCCACTGCACGTGCATTGACAGTGTGCAAAAGATGCACGTTAGACATGTCGATGGACCATGTGGTTGCGCTGAGTTCGGGGTACATCCTCATTTCGGACCGCTGGCAGTGGCGCTGCGGCGAGTGTCGCCTGCCTTGTCCGCACCTAGCTTCTCGATTCTCAATGAACACAAGTTGCACAGGACCGACGCTGCGTCAGACGGGCGAATTGGCAGCAAAAGCTCGAGGCAATATGGGGAGTGTGTCAAAATTAAATCACCTGGTGCCTATTTTTGAGCCACAAGCATATGTGCAATGACAGAAAGTGCCACGATTGACTGGGGCACAGGCAGCCCATGCGTTCGCGGCATACTGCAAGGGCTTGAGCCTAAGCTGAAACTTTCGACCCATGCTCCACCAACTTAAAAGGACCTCAAGCTGATTATTTTTGGGGGAGTCGGTCCCTATTTTGAGACAAACACAAGCAGGTTGTAACGTCATAGCTGGGCTTGGTCGCAACATCGAAGTATGATCAGGTAACCCTTGCTCCCACAAAGTGCCTGGAAGATCAGCTTCCTCCTAAAGGGACCCCCTGTACCATGTTGTGATTGGTGGATTTTAACCCGTTGTTGAAACATAATGGGAAGGTACCCTACCTCCAAACCACCGATCAAGGCTCGGCTGATGTGGAAAATATTACTCTCTTCCAGAAAGGGTTGAGCAACCCTTCTGTATAGAAAGCACCGGGGGGAGGGCGGGGCTGCCGCGGTGCTGGCGCACAAAACCGGCCCAAGTCAATATGCGTTGCCCCTCATATTCGATGGGGCCTCGTGTGTGGCTTCCCTCGTGAGTGCCCATTGATGGAAGCAGACCTTTCAAAGGCGTCTCTTTGGACAGTAAACCGCAAAATCACTCGATCTGAGGGGTGCCCAGCCGGCAACTGGGGATCGTGGGGAACCTCTGAGAAGGAGAAGGTTTGTTTTTCAAGTGTTGGGGACGGCTCGATGGGCATCTGCTACATGGGGACAATGCGATTGAGAGGCAGCCGGGAGAGCCATGGACAGGTCATGGCCTGTAAGACTTCCATACTGCCCTCTGACAATCACTGATGGGCTACTATATACCGCTCTCTTTGCTATGCCTCTGAGTCAGTATATGCACGGTCAAATCTCCTCATGTAAGTCATGATCATGGGTTTCTTAAGCGGAACCCTAAACAGTTTCAGCCAAACTCCATGTCTAAGGGATTGATACGCATTACCAACCTAGGTGAAAGGCTGTTTTGACCATGGCACATCCGAGTGTGTCTTTGATGATATCATTTGCGTTGGTCTGTTTTTGCAGGGAACCCACCCGTTTCGCGACTCATATCCCACATTGAGACCAACCCATATGATTGATCCACATGCCATCGCTTTGTGCCCGAGGCGAGGGCTCTCGAGCGTCTTGCAAGCCAACCCTGAGCCAGGGTGTTTTGACAGGATGCAAGCCACAGACAGCTGCCTCTTACCGGACCCCTGGAATTGGCTGGAAACTTCGTGGGTACCCCGGTATCCCCCATTTGGACCAAACAAGTCATGCTGGTTCACAGGCGTCTTTTCACTTGGCAGGCCTGGCTTGGGTCAATGGAAAATATGTTCCACGAGCACTTGAACCCCTTCCGACACTTGTTGTCCAAGTGAAGGATTGGAGACACGGTTCCTTGAAAGCATTCCAACTGAGACGGAAGTTCACATGGCCGATCAGCTGAGGGCGAGGCAGCAAGAACCCGATGATCTCCTGGCCATGCCTGCGTTTGCTGCTCTAACTCCCACGGGGGTCGGACCCGCGACTTCCAACCATGCGAATCTTTCCGGGAAACGGGTTTCACCCCGGGGAAACACCATGGAAAGCACGACGGGTGAACCAAAATGATTGGAATCCGAGTCTAAAGGCGAGCTGTGTCGAGTACCACCGCCTGTCGCAAAAGGTCAGTGCGGACAAAGGAGTAAGTGACGAACCAGGGGTCCAAGGAATATACTCGAAACCGTGCAAAACCAAGAGCGGCCTCATCCATTGATGGTTAGGAAGAACTGTGTGTGTGTAATCATCATCTTTGCAGGGCCTACAAGGGTAGATTTTACGATCGGGCAAAACCGCTCGGGTTCCATGGTTGGTCGGAGGGTAGTTTCCACATTCAAGGTAAGAATGAACCCAGTCCCCATGAGTCTATTTCCCGGTCCTTTGCATGTGCAGGGCTCCTTGCATTTCCTGGTAAAACACCACCTCGCCAACAGCAAACTCACTTCATAGCCCAAAGGTGACACTCAAACCAAACCCAAACGGGGCAAAATATAGCGACCATGCGGGTGCTTCATGTTCTGGGGGGGTTTGGTTTGGGACATTGAAGGCACGCCACGCAAGTTTCCGTGCCGTTCTCCCCGCGTTCCGACTCTCCTGGTGTTGCCGAGCATCGGCTCCAGGATGGCCCCGGGGCACCGCAAGGCCGCCTCCTTCAGCAGCTGCAGCAGAGCGCTGCCTGAGGCGCGCAGTGCGCTCCAAGCCGCAGGAGTCGACGCTTAAATCGCGGCGAATGGCTGAAAAAATGTGATCTTGGCCATCAGGATGATTGGGCCCCCACGTGGCCTTTGGGCGCCAAAACAAGGTCTTATCGGGAAAAACAGGCGTGGACCAGCGACGAGATCCATCCCAGATGCCCTGGCTTTGGGTATGGGTGCAGAAAATGCGGCCCTGCCACAGACAAAGAACGCGAGACTGCAGCTCGGCTCGGTTCATGCATAATTATGTCCCCTCATCAAAGCTGACAGCAGGAAAGCACCCATAGCCGATTGAAGGAGGCTTCCCTACACCTTCCAGATTCTACATCTTCTCTTCATCTTCTTCAGCCATCCAGCGCCATCTGCATCTTGAACAAACGTAGGACATCACGCCTTTTTGCAGGACCCAGGGTGTTGGGAACGAACCCAGGGATTCCCTTCAAGGAAACCATACGTAGGTTGGATGGTTTGTAGGGGTTTATCCAAATTGGACCAGCGGTGCGCCCAAACGGGAAGATCCAACAGAGCCCCCGGTTCGGTCCGCTGGTTCCCTCGAGCGCCGGGCTCAGCTCCAGCTTCTCGCGCTTCAGCTGCTCCGACTGCTCGGGGAGCTGCTGCCACCTCTGAGGAAAGCCCAACGGAAGTCTCCGGCAAAAACGGCGCAAGAGGACGTTCCTCTCAAGTTGGCGGCTGGTTTCCGACCGTAGCTAGGAGTTTCAAACTGGGATCCAGGCATAGCTTCCAACCATGGCAAACTGGGATCCATTTGCCTTTCTTTTGGTCTCCCTTCAAAGCCAACTGGAAGGATGGAGCGCGAAAGTTGGCGGTCCTTTGCCTTTGCTGGAGAAGGAAGCCAAGGGAAACCAAACGTGGGTTTGATGCACCCCACATGGTTTAGAGGAAGCGTACAGAGTTATATAGATGAAAGCCACGGCCCGGATTGCAGATGATTGGACCCCGTGCTGAATCCCGAGAGGAGCCACACAGTGTCCCGAAGTAATACAGTAATTTAGGTCAGCGGCAACACAGCGAATGTGTCCCCATACCAGCCCCTTTCTTCGGTGTAAGCATGGTGCGGTCTGCTATGGAGAGTCTTATGCCAACAAAGTGAACAGACCGGCCCCTTGAAGCCAATATTTATCTCTCGGAAGAGAGTGGTCAGATTCTCAGGACTGAAAAACTATCCCATGGTGGTCGATTTCCAAATTCACTCGTTGTTATGGACCTCGGGTCATGTTCCCAGGGTGCAATCCCAGGATGGAAAAATCCATAGACAAAAGGCCCCCAGGAGCCGGACACTACGAAGGGCCGCAGAAAGATCTGGGGAAGCCTCGGAGGCTGCGTGCCGACGCATGTCGAAGCTCCGCCATGCCAAGGCCGGGTGACAACTAGGGAAACAGTTCGGCCCGGTTTTCAAGAGAACCAACATGAGTTTGTCTACAGATATGGCCCCACAAAATGGGTGGGGTCACACCTCGAAAAACAGACACGTCGGTGGGGCTTGAGCTTATTTCGGTCAAACCAAAGAGCAATCAAAATGGAGCATGTGCTGCTTGCCCCTCAAGCATTCAGAACGCAGCTGCTGGGTCTCCAAGCAGAAAGCCTCCACGTCAACCAACGTTTAGGGTTCCTTTCTGGCCGAAGCAACCTGGAAATCTCTCCTGCTCAACACTTCTGCCTGCCGAGCATGCTGAAAGCTTCACGAATTCAGTTGTCCGGATAAAGGTCCCGGGCCCCTTCGGGATTTCTTACTTCAGATCGTCGAACAGCAATTGTTGCAGCTTTTCCAAATTCCAACGAGGAACCCTGGATCTCGGTCCTTTTGGGACAAAACCGGAACCCTGACCCCCAACAAAAATCGGCCCCCCTGTTTTCCTCGTGCGGGCCACGCGCAGAGCTCCCATCTTAGGAGTTCCGCAAACCAAGCTGGTCGGAGGGGACTTTGTACACTCCGTTCCTTTCAGCTTGACATCGGGCAGAGTTTGAAGTTAACGCCAACATCAATGACTGGCAGCACATGTTTACCTTATCAAGAGTGAAGAATGGGGATAGTCCTCTGTCTACAGGTGATCGATCCTACAAACCAGCTCAAAGAAATTCTACGGGAAAGTTACCAAGCGCCCAAAAAACGCCAGTTTGGGGTTGTCCCCAGCAGGCTTTCTTGTAATTGGCTGGTTTGTTGACCCTCCTTGGATGGAGATGCATCTGGGCATGCGTCAAGAACAATTCAATCCCTGTGGAAGCTTCTAAGAACAAAGGAAATACAATCACAAATGGCCAACTGCTCATGTTTAAACCACCCAAAACGGGGTTTACGTTGGGACCGCGCAGTACTCAGCTTTGAACAGTTGGCACGAGATTAGGGAGATTCCCACAAATTCGGCCGAGCATATCCCCCCGTTTTGGACGGCTTAAACCTGGCGCCAAACTTCAGCGCGCCGTGTTCGGCATCTTCGGCTCCAGGCCCGGCAGCCTCCAGCCCGCGGGCGGCACATTACAAAGCAAAATGTCTTCCGCCGGGCCGTGTTGCAAACCCTGGTGACTGCCGGTCCTTTCCCTGCTGGTGCCCAGAAGGGAAGCTTATAAACCATCCAACTGGTGGTTTCCTTTAAGGGGACCCTGGGTTCATTCCCACATTCCCTACTGAGCACCAGCAAGCTTCTTGCCAAAAAACACAAAGGGTGATATTGCAAAGGGGGGAGGGTTGAGTTTCGAAGAAAGAGCTGGTTGGCTCCAAGCTGTCTTTCAGCTTTCTGGAGTTCTTGCGGTTGCTTAGAGAGCCTTGGGGAAGTCTAGGATTATTCCCAGCGTAGACCCCTTTAACAATTCGTCAGCAATTGATGTTGAGCCCAAGCAAAGGTCGCGCAAAATATACCTCTCAACCCCCGTCTTAGACCGCACAGTTCCGGGTAGAAGCTGCGGAAGCCTGGCATCCGACATCCGGCCTGGGTAGACGAGCAGACATGAGCCCGCCCAGCGGAAGGCGAGCGCCCTGACTGAGTGAAGGTCGGCAAAGGCCATGGGATGCGCGGCTTTTGCAACATGCCATGACAACGGTCCACTGCTCCCTGCAATGCTGATTGGCGTTGCAGCGTTTTGGCTGCCCCTGTTGGAAAGCTTCGGAAAGGGAACGCTGGGCTCAGATCCTCACCGTCAAAAGAAAACACACCCTGAGCATGCTGCGCGGATGACATGCATTTTCACCTGACCTGGTGCAAGTTTACCGGGAAAGCGAATAAGACCAGACCCAGAAGATAGAAAGAGATGTGAAATAGCTTGTTTGATTCTATCGAAGCGCTTATTCAATAGGTCGACTGAGATTTAGGCTTGCCCCCAACCAGGGGGAAGCCTCATCCCTCTTGTTTGCCTTCAGAAACTGCCGATGAGGGGAACCAACTCTCCAAGAACGGTATGCCTTTCGAGCGCAGTTGTGTGTGTGTGTGTGTGCTTTGGGACGCAACATGTTCGCAGCCCCGCCTTGGAAGGGAGAGAATGTGCCAAAAGCTCATCCAGAGTCCTTGGGTGGACCGAGATGATCCAACAGGATAGGTGCTGCCCTTCTTCCAGCGCAATAGCCCTTTTTCAAAGTGAAAGGGTGTATCAAGCAAGGAAAAGACCACCTGTCAAGGCATGCTCAAGTGCCTAATTCGCGTTTTGCCTCCCGAAGTCTGAGTTTTTCAAGCCTGTGTCAGCATCTCGAGAAGCAAACGCGTGTCCACGCGTAAGGGCAACAAGAGCAAAGCCCCAACTCCTCCGTTTGGCTTTCTTTGTGGCAAATTGTTAAAACTGCCACAAAAAGAGCTTCCCCAACTCAGAGACATGCCCATTTGAGGATGTGTCAACATGAGTTGGACGCTTTGCTAAACGCCAAGTGTTTCCCATTCACTCACCGAACTGCCGCTTGTGGCCCCTGACTTCGACGTTCCACGCGGTTTTCCTTTCCAGAATGGACCCAAGAAACCCTCCCCACTCCCTTTCTGCCCCGTTGCTGGCCACCGGCCACCGCTTAGGGTTGGATTCAAGCCATTCAGCATGTCTGTGGTTTAATTTGATCGTGCCCAGGTTTTTTGCCGAGCGAAATGAAGAATGGGTTCGTCTCAAAATAGGGGAACCCCCCCGGATCCTTTTACACCAACCATCATGGGATCCCCTGCAAAAAGACACACCCGCATGCTCGCGGTTGGACCTGCGGAGAGCCGAAATAAGCTGGAGCTCTGCGTAAAGTATGGCCGGCAAGCCACTCAGAGGTTGGACACCCTGGCTCCAACCCACGGGAATTGGGTTCAAGCCTGGTTTCAGCAATGCCTGTAGAGTTTAAATGTCAAAAGCAAAGAATCGTCACCTTCCAAAGATTTGCTATACCAGAGATGGCTTTCCGCTGAGGAAGTACAGAAACAAATCTGCACATTCTGGCCAGTGCCTTTTGAGAGTCCTGTCTCCTTGGATGTTCAACCTCAGCAAGTAGGTTCTAAAACATGGCTCGAGGTCAAACTTATAGTCTTCCTGCATTGGTTTGAAGATCTGATCCGCTTCACTACGCTTGGCTTGTCCAAGCGTCGGCTTCAGGGGTGCCCCACACCGCGGCCGTGCTGGTGGGAGCTCCATGGGCGTGGGCACGTCTTTGACGGCTTCGCTCTGGGCACCGAACCAGGCGTCCTGGAATCCACGTGAGCAAAATGAGCCCAGGTATTCCCAACCAAAGAGCTCCGCGAGTCTTGAGAAACCTTTTGGGAAAACACGAAAACCAATAGTATCCCCAACAAGCAACTGCGAAACTCTAGCAAGACGCTCCGAACCACTCTGGAGCCCAGCCCCCACAGCTTTCAGCTGGGGAACTGCGATTGTTCTTCAAGAGGACCTTGGAAAATTGGGCAGGCCCTCTGGTCTTTGTGGGCAATTGTGTGAATCCCCCCATGTCCCGCCCACATGGAGCATAGACCACTGACTTTTTGACCGAACCTGGTGTGACGTCTGTGAAAAGCAAACCCTTCCTCACACACCCCTGTGGATTAAAAAAACACATCCCTTGGGAAAGTCTGAAATGGACCTATCTCTGCCATCAAAACCGCTTATCTGGGTGTGTCTTTTTGAAGGGTTCCCTTTTTGGTTGCCTTAAAAAAAACCAAAAGGAAAACTATCCATTTCCGGGGGTCCCTAAAAAGAGACGCACGCATGTGGGCCATGCTTTTAATAGGAGCCTCGATTCAGATGAACCAGCCGAGCGCCATGTTGGGGTTCAAGCTGCCCAAAGGTGCAAGGGCGTGTCTCTCAGAGCGTGTTGTCTTGCTTAATACAATTGGCTTCAAACATTGGATACCCCTTTGACACCGCGCTTAAATTGCAGCCAAAAGGAAACCAATAAGAAATCAAGGGTCCCCGGACCCGCCCTTGGGCAAATGAATGCTCCAAAAAGGCCCTCTCACCTTGTGATACCAAAGTGGGTCACGGGGCCCACGGGGCCCACGGGGCCCACGGGGCCCACGGGGCCCACGGGGCCCACGGGGCCCACGGTACATCACCAGGAAATCTGCCTTCGCATGTGGGTGTTCCTCTTTTTGTCTCACAGCAACGCAGCTCTCCCTCTCTCTCTTACGTTCCTGCTACCTGGTGGGGGAAGGAGGGTCAGGGGGTCACAGGGCGTCCAGTTCTTCAGAAATCCCTCCTGCGCGAACGTCCCGAAGCTCTCCGGCACGAAGCCCGCGTCCACTTCTTGCACCCAGTGCTTTCTCTCGCGATCCCTCGGGATCGGATCACGCGGGCAAACTGCCAAGAGCCACGCCAGGGGTCCTCTTGGTCGGTGTTGGGACCGGACTGGATGGCGGCCTTTTTGGGTTGGTCTCCTTGTAGTTTTCCCTTTAAACCACCTTTCCGTTCTTTTTTCTTGGTACCCTCAACAAAAAGACACGCTCGCTTGAACCTTTCTTCAAGCCTAGAGGAAACGAGCCAAGGTTCAGCTCGTGTCCGAGGAGAAAACCCGAAAAATCGATGGCTTTTCGTTGGTTTCCCCTTGAGAGAAAAGGGCACTTGAATGGCAAAGTCACTTGCGCAGCTCGCAGTGGTGCGGCAAGTGCCGCTCTTCCTCATCGCCTCAAGGGAAACCGCAAGTTGCCGAGAAAAGGGGGAAAAAAATAAAATAAAAACGCTCTGCTAGGTGTCATTTGGGCGGGGGGGATTCGACTTTTGCAGAAGTGGATGAGACTGGCAAATCAAAGCCAAACTGACACCTGACAGGATGCCCGCTCAGCAAAACGGTAAAGAGCTCTCGCCCAAGGGAAATCCGTCTAACCCAACCGATCTTTCTGAAGGCCCCACTTCAGGTCGACATTCTTT